CCGCACGTACTCTACATTGGAGGAAGCTCGAGCGGACAAAAACTTGCCAAGGGTTAATCAAACTTGTCTACAAATGATATGGCAAAGTTGTAATGAGAATAGAGTTCGAATCCCAAACAAGACCACAAACAAACACAAACATTGTGGGTGCATGAGCTCAGACAACAGCAGCGGCGTTTCTCTGGGCCAGCTGCCAAGTGCCCCACCCGCCTCTCTGGCCACCAGTGTATGTGCTGGTGGACATTGCTCNAGCAGCGGCGTTTCTCTGGGCCAGCTGCCAAGTGCCCCACCCGCCTCTCTGGCCACCAGTGTATGTGCTGGTGGACATTGCTCTCGATGACATGAAGCGTTACAGCCATCTGGAATCAGCGAATTGATGAATGACGGGAGATCCACACCAGTCAAGAGGCAAATTCTTCAAACAAGCGATCTTGCTCGCTACAGGGTGCGAACGGCGACACCCGATATATTCAGCCCGAAATACCACAAAACACACGTGATGGCGCAAGCTTTGAAAAATCAACACGAATAGGGATTCATTCTGGGGGCATCTGATCAGGTATCTCCGGCTACTTGTCGTTGGTAGCGACAAACCTGTTCCAAATGTGCATGCGGGCGATTTTCCTTTCTGTCGTTGTTGGTGGGTTTCAGAATTGGCGCCTGGCTTCCGCGAGAAACGCGTCCCCGGGGAATAGAGCCAGTTCGTGCGACCTTGACCGTCAACTACACGCCCCACGGACGCCTGCCGAGCTCCCCGCATGAGCGATAACGTACCCACGAGCCTACTGCGTGCCCCTGAGAAAGAACCGCGACAAAAAACTCGCCGCCGGGAGAGAAAGAAATGGCCAAGCACCAAAAATGACCAAATCGTACATGTACACACAAGGCCGCTTCGCGGACCGCTGCGTTCATAGGTTGCACGGCGATGGCAAGTGGGTGCGGGTTGAGTTTTGAAAGGAGAGGAAAGAAGAAGTGTTGGTGTTGTGAAGTCTTGTTTGTGAAACCGAAAGCCATGGAAAAAAAAAACGCAAAACGAAGGTACAAAAAAAGCAAGGGCGTGTTTAGTACAGTATAGTATTTTTATTCCAGTATTGAAAGCTGTACTAAAGCGTGCAGTACAGTACAGTACCGAACGCCGTCCTGCCAGTACAGTATATTCCAGTATCGAAAGCTGTACTAAAGCGTGCAGTATTTTTATTCCAGTATCGAAAGCCGTACTAAAGCGTGCAGTATTGTATTCCACCAGTATTTTGCAAGCAACTAGGCGCTATGTACGCTGTTGGAATGCCCCCCCCCCCCCCCCCCCCGCCCGAAGCTCCCCCGCCCCGACCCTCTGTCTTGGCGGTTATGACTACTCAGCACCGGAAAGCATTTTCAACCTCCAAATCCTAATCCTCCTACACTGATGACTACCCATCCTCGATATCGCCAACAGCAGACATGTCGGGAGGCGTCTTGTTTTCCAGCGGATCAAGCGCCATCTCTGCGTTGAGTAGATCTTGGTTTGTTCCCTTGAACCTCGCAGGGAGACACTCCTTGATGCTGTTCGACTCGATCCTGGGGATGTCGTCGTACTTGGGAATACAGTGCATGTTTACTTTGAGGAACAGCATCATTTCCACCCAGTACTCGTCTGAACGACTGCGATTTGAAGCACAAAGAAGACCGCAGGTGCCAAAGTCTCTCTCGATCTGAGCGGCAGAGGCTTGACTGCCGAATGTCTGCTGCGCGACATACTTCAGATTGGGGAATGCATGCCACTCGCCGCTCCCGCGGCGGGACCAACTGCGGCGTCACTCATCGTTGCCTAGTGGCTGCGGGCCACTGCTCGAGCACCAGTAGTGCCAGTTCAGCAGTAAACTGCACACGGCAGTACTCGCTCACTCGCCGCTTGCAGCAGGAGTGGGACTGTAGGACTAGACCAATTGGACAAGAGTGTCCGGCATTTCTGCCAAAAGATGACGTCACCAAAACGCCCTTCGGTGGATTTCGGGTAGATACCGGGTAGATCGGCCCGTACAGCAGTGGGTACTGCCCGTACTGGGTAATACTGGATATTGCAGTATCGAAAGCTGTACTAGAGCGTGCAGTACAGTACAGTACCGAGCGCCGTACTGCCAGTACAGTATATTCCAGTACCGAGAGCTGTACTAAAGCGTGCAGTATTTTTATTCCAGTATTGAAAGCTGTACTAAAGCGTGCAGTATATTTTTCCCAGTATTGAAAGCTGTACTAAAGCGTGCAGTACAGTACAGTACCGAGCGCCGTCCTGCCAGTACAGCAGTATATTCCAGTATCGAAAGCTGTACTAAAGCGTGCAGTATTTTTATTCCAGTATCGAAAGCTGTACTAAAACGTGCAGTATAGTATATTATGGCCAAAGGTACTTCAATACTGAAAATACTGGCAGTATCGTACTGTACTAAACACGCCCTTGAAAAAAAGGTGAACACCATGTGGTGCATAGTTACACGGCGAGGTACTTTGAAACGTGGTCTGTGTGGTGTTCGAATCTCTGCATTCTTTGCACTTTGCAAACAAAGGTGCACATTCAAGAAAGTTGAGAAGGTTACACTTCGTTCCGTACCTTCCCGCAACCTCATCTCTATGTCGGTTTTGGAGGCACGGGGGCAACGCAACGCCGCGCCCAACCGGAGCGTTCATATGTGTGCTCCGTGAGCGAACTGTAGATATTCGAAGATTTCAACGAGACCCTATGATTGTGCTCATCAACATCGACAATACTACAAAATCGTGGCTCTCGGTGGGCAGATTAATCCTAGCTACGGTCCGTGCACAACAATTTGTCCAGTAACTTCCCATGCACAAAGTGCAACTTTTCTCTGCACACAGGTGGTTGTTCGAAAAAAACTCTGAAAGTACCCGCAATCGCCCTGTTTACAGGCGCAGGGCGTGACGGAGTTTTTCTATTTTTTCTTGACTTACACATCCGAAAAACCGGAAAAACTTGTTTCGTCTACAGGGGGTGGAGTGTCTTGCCGATTCACAAAAACTCAGACGGATTTGGACAGAACTCGGAATTCCGCAGATGGGTATTTTTTTTAAAAGTTTTTCCAACTCTTGGAAATGAAAGAGATATCCAGGAAAAACTGGATCCGGAGGGTCAAGTTGTTTCGTTTACAGTACAATAACTCACCAACCGATTCCAAAATAAACAGCGGGAAACGATTCCTCGCATCAGTGTCTAGATGGGAATTTTTTGTTTTTCCCGGGAAAACTCTGGTTCTCGAGATATTCCACATTTTGTCGTGCCGTGCTATCGGAGATTTTTCGGCTGTTGGGCAAGAAGCTCCCACAACAAACTGGCACGCGTGGCGGCCCGAACAACACGAGACACGCACGCAAGCAAGCAAGCACCATGGCACGGCCTAAGAAGAAGAAAATCGGCAAGCGCGGAGCCGATGGCCGGGCGGTTCCGAACAAACCGAAGCCGGCGCAGCAACATGATCTTCCGTCACGCGGCGCTGGTGATGCGCTCTCCGACGGCCACGACAGCGCCGATTTGATGGACGTGGATCAGGAAGAAGGCAAGGCGGCGGCAGACGAGGATGGTAACGACGAGGACTGGTGCGATGAGGATACCAGCGGCGCAGACAGCAATGGTAGAGGTCAGTCGATCCTGAGTTTTGCGAAGTGGTCGGTGGCGTCCGCAGGTCGCAGTGAAGGAAGTGCGGCGAAAAAATATCCGCCGCGTGTGCTGTCGAGAAGTCCGCAATTTCGCAAAAGAAAAAAACTTCTCCAGCAACAAGCAGTAGGCTTGGCACGAGCCATGGGAGCGTTCATCCGTAAGTCGCAGCAGCAGCAGCAGGAGCAGGGAAAGGAGGAGAGCTCCTCTGCCAGTGGTAAGGTTGGCCCAGCAGAGAAGTCAGCGCCGGTTTTAGAGGTTGAGTCGCACACAAGCTCTACTGGCGGCGGCGGCGTTTTGGAGTTGCGCCGCAGCAGCAACGGCAGCATCGGCAACATGTCGATAGCTTCGGGCCATGGGCTGAGCATAGATGAGTGGTGTAGTCGTCGAGATATGCTGGGCGCCGAAGGAGTGCTGGACGAGTACTGCGATACCTCGTCAGACGATTTTCTTGATGATATGGACTACAGCAGCAGCAGAGGGCGAGAGCGCTCTTCGGGGGCACGGTTAGGGGGTTCCGTGAATGCATAGGGGTATGTCGTGTTTGGGGGGCTCCGTGAATGATGATTGCCAAAAATGTTGGCATATCGCCTAAAACAAAAAAAAATGAAGCTATCGACGTATCTCGACGAGGCCGTCACGACTATCGTTGTTTTACGTTCCAATTCTTTTTCCAAACGAAGTTATCGCACAAAACGTTATACAAATTGTTGTGCACGGACTATATGTACAAGAAGAAACGCAGACCGGAGGTACGTGCAACAATATCGAAGACCACTGACACGGCGAGGTACCAAGAAGAAAGACCTTGATGATGGGAAGTGTGAGCACGCCCGTTGACGCGAAATCGCCAACAACACAACCGACGCACCGACAAGGTGAGACTTGATAAGGAAAAGACGCAAAGGAAATCTATGGAGGGCGACATTGATGGGCATATTGTCGTAACCCGTTGTAAAAATTCTACTCATCTTTTGTTGCATCATCCCACCCAGCAACTACCACACACAGCATGCATGCAACTAGTGTGTACTCGGAAGAACGAGAAGTATGTGCCGTGTCTGCAAGCAAAAAACCCACAGTCCTAGTCCCACAGCATGCAAAAATAAACGATGGGGCGGCGGAGGAGGATACACATAATAACCCGAATGGATTCAACGCGTTCTAAGCTACACTGTTTTCTGATTCCGAACCTTACACCTACTGCCGTACACATATTTTTGCACCAGCCCGAACCCGACCCAAAGGGTTCGGGTGCTGTGCACCTTTAGTAGTCCTAGCTTGCTGTGCACGGCTTGTACCTGCCCAAGGGATGTTCCGAGAAATGTCGTTCCGATACATGGAGAACACCACGTTTGACCCGGTCACCCGGTCGCAATAAGCACTGTACTACTACCTTGAAGCGTACTTGAGGTGAAGATTCCAGACTGCTGTCCGTGCACGCGCACCGGGCGCAACCCCACCCGCTTTTGGTCGGGACCCAAAGGGAGGCGCACTACAGCAGAATGGTGCGTTGTTTCGTGACATGCGGGCACTTGGTGGCTTGGGATGGCTTGGGATAGTCGCGTATGGCGAGGGAGTGTACACAACGAAGGAACACGTAGCCAGAGGACCACGTCGGCCTCTCAGCAACGTATGAAAGTGGCCTGGACCGTCGAAAACCGGCCTCTGATTGGGAGAGGCGTCGTAGATCTCGGAGACGCGACTTTCTGCCCTCCCTAGAGCTGCGCGACGTCCGCTGCGAGAGCGCGCGGCACAGTGAGAGGGCCCTCGCAACTCAGGGCTACCGGTCGGTGCAAGTCTCGCAGCGAGGCCAAGTCCAGGGGCGGAGAACCCCCCCCAAAAAAGCTCTAGACGCACCACAGCATCAGGATTGCAAATGCTGCAAACTCGTACACCATCAGCCCGNAGGTCCACATGGGCGCGGACGACCGCTATCGGCGGGCGCCGTTGCGCTGGTAGGTTGCATGGCGATAGTTTTCGAAAGGATAAGTGTTGTTTTGTTGTGAAAAGATACCGTAACTTCGAACTTCGTTGCATCAAGGGGGTGCCACTGCTCTACAATCGGACACTCCTCTACACCCGAGGTACGTGTAGAAGACAGCAAGCTATCCACCCACAAACGTCGAAGGGTATGTACTTTGACCACAAGCCTTGCAAATAAATGAGGAAAACGCGTACCGACGGCGGCTTCGGTACAACAATGACGCAGACCTGGTATGAACATGGCAGCGAAAGCTATACGAACATACCAAAACCGAAAGCCGAAAACGAAGAATCACTCCATAGCCAACCGAGGTACGCGTGCACGGTAGAGGAGCGTCCAGGAATGTGAAGGTATAAAGGTACTTCAATACATGTGAAGGTAAGAAGAAGAAAGACGCTAGTAACGGAAAATGTGTGAGAACCCGTTGACGCAAAAAACCCAACACGACAACCGACGCACGGCAAAGATGAGACATCAGAAGGAACAGACGGACGGCGACCTTGATGGGCACATTTTCTCTGCCGCAACTTCAGTCATCGTCATCAAGAGGCGGAGCGCTTGCGGGTCGAGGTTTTTTGAGACGAGAGAAAAGAGAAAGAAGACAGTTTTGTCGTGGTTGACAACACAAGGTTGGCAGCACATGAAAGAACGCTGCCTGATCTACATCGGGAGTCCATCGGTCGTGTACTGGGGAGTCACGATCGAACAGCTGTTAGTAAACTTGATCGACTTCATAGGTCGCGACCGAAGGGATTGCTGTACCCTTCTCGCCATCAAAATATCTCAGGCAGGAACCGCAGGAGGGGGTCCAACCCCCCCCTCCTGTGTGACCCCGGTTGAGTCGTCTAGCTGGTAGATGTGGAGAATAGGGGGCAAGGGGGCAGACGACAGAGTCCAATGATGGAAGAAAAAATAGAAAAACTGCGAACAGACTGCGACGCTGGCAATTTTTGTGTTGCAGGTGCGTTGATACCATGCAAGGACCGCCTGAGCCGAGCCCACTCCCTCGTCTGCACCAAGACCGGCGCCTCAACCTTCCTCAATGATAGGATACTTCGGGTAATCCTTAAGACACTGCGCGAGGTACCATATGCCATCGCCGTCAAGGATTCTTCCCCCTTTACCACAGGCGCTGGAAGGGGAAAGGGGCTATACAAGATGGATTTGGTAATTCCCCCAGGATTACAGGGAGGAGAGGAGAAGAGGACCTCGGCACCAAGTCCATTCTTTAACATGTTACTTATCGTAAACCCATTCGCAAATCGAAGCATCGACAAGTCCATCCAAACGACAGAATCCGCCCTCGAACATCGACCTGCAAAGCCAAATCATTATGGGGGAACATTAGACCCGTCTAGATCTACCCTCCTTACTGCTTCATTTTCAACGTATGGTAGTCTTGGCAAAGGCACCAATCGATTCATCGTTGCTTTCGCCAACCACTTGGCGCATGAAGTTTTTTGCCAGGGGAATATCGACGGCAAAAGAGCCTGAGTTCGCCTCAAAGCTCTTCACCGTAAATAACAGAATTCCGAGACGATGTACCTTCGCGCTATATAGCTCGTTTTCTGTCGATGCGAACTCGCAATGTGTTCAAACGTCATGGGCTACTGATCGACCAACTCCCACCAGGGCCAATCGGTTGGGATCTCTGCGACGATGATAGTAATAAGGGTTCTTCTCTTGGGAGTGACGGAGACGAAGAAAAGGGAAAGGGAAGAAAAGAGGACGAAGACGACCATGGAGGAGTGGAAGAGAGCAAAGGGTTTGAGCCAGATGACCTTCCCCAAAAACAAAAGACGTCGGGCTAGGGAAGAAATACGAAGAGATTATTGTCAAAATGAGGATCAGAATGGTGGTAGCGACAACAATGAGGATAATGGTGAAAGAACTCCCAAACGAACTCGAGTACAACGTGATATGTTATTTATGCACTATTTTCCTATTGTTTCCGTGGAAAGTGAGCCCTTGTTCATTAAGAACAATTTTCTTGCTCCGAGTAAATAAATACTCTCTACCTCCGGCTGTCGCACAAAGTATGAACTAAGTNTTCCTATTGTTTCCGTGGAAAGTGAGCCCTTGTTCATTAAGAACAATTTTCTTGCTCCGAGTAAATAAATACTCTCTACCTCCGGCTGTCGCACAAAGTATGAATTAAGTTATTGTGCGTCTCTGCTCTTCGAACAAACAATGGACTTTTTTCCTCCTCGCGGCATTATTTCTCTCATTTCAAAACTCCATCCGCACACACTTGCCATCGCCATTCAACCTGCGAGCATAGCGGCGACCGCGAAGGGGTACGCCGCGAAGCGCCCCTGTACGATCTACGTTCATACACCGTCCTCCGATGTTCGGTCCAACGTTCCGACTTTGTGCAAGCTGTCCTGCTGCGGGTCGTGGGTGCTTGTTCGCTA